TCTTTAGGAGGCAAAATGATCAGGATTTGGTTGTTGCTGAGGTGAGGCAGGAAGGGAGAGAGGGAGTCAGGTGTGATACCCAGTTCCCCGGCTTGAGCAACAGGCTGGATAGTTGACAAGGTGGGAACCATAGGTGGGAAGAGGAGGATGGGTTCTGGGGTGAGGGTGGGAAGGTCAGCTTTGACCATGTCAAGTCCGGGTACTGTCGGCGACCCAAGGGCAGGAGAAAGTCTAGCCTGGGGTGCTGGAGGTATGGAGGGTGCCAGAGGAGCACTGGGCACCCTGGCATTTAAGGTAAGGTGGTCAGAGGAAAAGAACCCCCAAAGGATCCCAGGGAGGAACAGGCAGCCAGGGGCTAGGAGAACAGGTGGGGCTGATCCTGAAATTGCAGGAGAAGTGGGGTTCTCACGCTCAGGGTCCAAGCAGAGTGGACGCAGTGCAGAATGTGCACCTCACAGATTCTGGGGTTCCATCCCAGGGAGCCTGAGTTGGCAGACAGGAGCCCAGGACTACATCTTTCATAAGCCCCTGCCCCCACCCAGGGGATGCTGACCTGGGTGTGGGGAGCGTCAGGAAGGAGGGAATGAGCCACAGCAGAGAAACCTGGCAAGGGAGAGACAGAAACATGACCACTGGGTTTGCAGAGGTTTGACAACTGTCCCCAACCTCGGGTCCTCCAGCCACTCCCAGAGTGGGAAGGCGGACCCCAGACACAGTAAACTCTATGTACCAAGCACACTAACAGTTGTGCTGTGCTGACATGCCTGCTGTTCAGGCGCGCTCTCTGTGTTCCCCGTCCCTCTCCTCAGCCATGCCCTGCCCACAGCAGGCGCTCAGAGAAGTGGGCAGAACCAAGTGCTCTAGGTCCATCCCTCTGCCTCCAGCCTCCTCTGTGCCCATTTGCACCCTGGCTGGGCATTTGCTGAGCACCTCTGATGCTTTCACCTGCTTCCCTCTGACCCTTGGAGAATCCTGTCTACACTGCTTCCCTCCTCCCTCCCTCCCTCCCCAGTGCTGTCGGAAGGAAAACGGAAGGAAAACAACGCAACACAGTGGGCACCTGAGCAGTGCCGCGTGAATGAACGGGAAATGGGGCTCCTAATGGTTTGAAAGGCAGAGAGAGTGATGCCCTTGAGCCAGCTGCAGCAGAGAGGTCTGGGGGAGAGGTGGGAGTAGATTATTATTGTTGATATCTCTCATGTTTAGCTGGCAATTTGCAATTTTAAAGTGTTAGGATAGAGTTCTATGTATAGGGTACCAAGGGGGCCCAGAGGGAAACCCTAATTCAAATGAGGGGGCCATGGACAGATTGCAGAGAGATTAATCTTAAATGACGTGTGGATCTGCCCAGGTGGGAGGGAATGGAAAGAACCTTCCAGGCAGAGGAAGCAACTCTTGCAAAGGCCAGAGATGAAAGAAAGCCCGGGAATGGGGTTCTGATGAGGACGAGATGAAAGATTCATTTGTTCCACAAATACTTACCAAGTGTCTACTTTTATGTCCGGTCCTGGGCTGGTGTGGAGGTACAGTGTGAACAGGGCAGACTGCAGTCCTGTTTGCATGGAGAATTTGGGCTATGGGAGAGGCAGACATTAAATAACTAAGCACGTGAAAACATAAGCTCTGACATGTGTTGGCAAGAGGTATGGGGGAAGAACAGCAGATTCTGAGCAGGAGAGAAACCAAGGAGGGATCCTCATTTACCTGGGAGGGGTCAGGGAATGCCTCTGCAAGAATATGACCTTTCAGCTGGGATCTAAAGGCTGAAGAGCTGGATAGAGGAGCTGCACCTGCTGAGACCTAGGAAGAGCTTTGGAGGAGCTGAAAGGAGCTGAGCTTAGTGAAGAGTGTGTGTGTGTGTGTGTGTGTGGGGGGGGGGGGGGGGGCAGGGGCGGGGACACTGCCAGAGACGTGGTGGTGGTCAGAGCCTATGGGTCTAGCTAAGGGTTTGGGGTTTCATCCTGTGGTTAAGATGTCTTTGTATCTGTTTTGATTATGAGGTTTAAACAGAGATCGGATTTGCATTTGAGGAATATCTCTGGAAAGACCATTCTGGCAGCGGTGAGGAGGGGGGTCTGAGAGGGTGGGTGAAACTGGAAGCTGGGAGGTGATGGTGGCCCGAATCAGAGCAGAGGCATCAGGATGGGAAGGAGGGATGACCTTGAAAGATGTCTAAGGGGTGGAATGGAGAGGAGACCGACTCTAGGACATGAGGGTGAAAAGTCAAAGAGAACCCCCGACCCTCGCGTCTGGCTTAAGGAGCACAGGTGTGCAGGCCTGCACATTAAGTGCTGGCCTGCAAGGGGTTTGAGGGTGCTCAGGGGAATAGGGAGGTGCACAGTGGAGTTCAGACTGGAAGGACAAGTCTGGGAGGTGCGTGAGCCTGGAGAGCCATCTGAGGTGAGTGTCAGGAGCTCTCAGAGAGCAGAGACGGGGAAGCCAGAAGCCGCAGAGGAAGGATGAGGAAAGATGGGGAGGGCCGGAGCAGGGGGCAAGGAAGCCAGGGGAGCAGAGGAAGCTCCAGCTCCATAGGCCCCGAGGGGCGTTGCCACTGACATCCCAAACCGCGCAGTCCTCTGACCCAAGAGGTTAAGATGTCTGTCCCCCTGCCTCTGAGATCTCATCCGCCAGAAGGGACCTTTTCCTGGCTGTGAGCACTCCTGCCTGTGCTCCGGTAGAGTGGAGAGGGCGTGGCAGCTGGCGTCCAGAGGCTGGATGGGGGCCTTGCTCTCTGCAGAGGCCTGGATGGGGGCCTTGCTCTCTGCGGCCAGGGTGATCTGGGGCAGCCTCTCCTCTTCTTGGGCCTCAGCCTTCTCATCTGGAAAGGGGGGTCATCCTGCCCGCTTCCTGGGGTGAGGACGTGGCGAGTGTGAGATATAGTGGGTGGGCACGTAGCCAGTAGAAAGTGCTCTGTACAGTGAAGCTCTGGCGGGAAGGGGTCGTGCAGGGCTCTTTCTCCCTCCATTTCAGTGTCTTCAGAGGTGAGAAGGGAAGAAAGCACGGCCTGAGCAGGGCCGCTAGACGGCAGGGCACTTGGCAGGGAGCCAGGGACACCTGGCACCAGGTCAGTGGCTGCCCCCTCGGCCACCTGTCGGCTGGACCCAAGTCGCTGCTGTCCACGCCAGCTCCGCAGAGGGCGATGGAGAGACCGAGCGGGTGTGGCGCGTGGGAGGCGAGTGGGGTCAGCGCGCCCCCTGGTGGGCATTCGAGGCGCTTCCCGGGGCACTTGTCCGGGGAGAAGGTGAGGCCCCGCCGCGCCCGCCGCGCGCTCCGCTCACTCGCCTGTTGGGGCGCAGACCATTTCCGCTCCCGGTGCCCGGCGCACAGCGGCGCTCAATAAAGACAATTTAAAAAACGAATGGCCGGCCGGGCGCGGTGGTTCGCGCCTGTAATCCCAGCAATCTACTTTGGGAGGCCAAGACAGGCGGATTGCTTGAGCTCAGGAGTTCGCGACCAGCTTGGGAGACAAGGCGTGACCACCCCTCCACCCCTCCACCCCCGCCACCGCCACCGTCTCTACAAAAAAACCAAAAACAAAAATTATCCGGACGTGGTGGCGCACACCTGTAGTCCCAGCTGCTCGGGAGGCTGAGGCGGGAGGATTGCTTGAGCCCAGGAGGTCGAGGCTGCAGTGAGCCATGATAGCGCTACTACAATCCTGCCTGGGTGA